GCTTCTCATAAAAATACAATCGCCGTTCGGAGTCGGCGTAAAACTGTAGGTCCCTCCGCTTTGTGTGACAACATCAAGGCGCACGCCACAAATCGGAGGAGAAGCTCGGCCAAACACTAACATATGTGTAAGCGCCAATCTATTATTATATTATTATTATTGAAGATAAAATCTGACAAAATTTACCATATTCGCATCTTTAGCTGTGTGCCAATCGGTAACATTTTTCTACGTGGTAAGACGGATTGGAAAAATTTGTACGAATAAATTGAATGCTGTGCCAAATGCAAAGTAAAATTTTGACAGTTGAAAAACCAAACAAACGCTCGTGTGAATGCTCTATTTTTGTATTTTGCTGAAATTTTTAAAATGAATGTCTATTTTATAACTTGCAAGTAACGCACGCCTTTTTTATGCTTTTTTCAGCTTTCATTTTGACTTTGACCCTTTATTACCTCCAAACAATATTATGTATATATATATTTTTATTCACCACGAGAAATGTTAAATTTTTGGTTTGATCTGTCAAAATTCCATTTTTTCTATCTATGTCTTAAATCTAGCGACATAAAAATCGGTTATACTTAGCGAAAAGTAAACAAATTTTTACAGCGTCTTTTTACACTTATCAAAATAAAGTTTTATTTTCAATATATGCAATCAACATTTTGTTTTAGTAAATTACAATATTTGTTGTTAACTCCCTTCTCATGACGGGGGTGCATCGAGGTCTGGTGGATTTTGTTAAGCTCCTTCTCCGAAAGAGAACTATTCTATCAGACTGGGGGATGGTTCCATTACAAAGTATGTGACCAGAGGCACCCCCCAAGGGGGAACTCTCTCCCCTCTACTCTGGAATCTAACAGTTAACACCATACTTCTAAGCCTAAAGCGCACCGGTTGTCAAGTCATAGCGTACGCCGATGACATAGCAATCGTTGCAACGGGCAAACATCGTCAGGTCCTGAGTGAGTTATTGCAAAACGCACTCGGTCTGGTAAACATCTGGTCCAAGGAATGTGGACTTAGTGTCAGTGCTGCCAAGACATAAATGGTACTTTTCACAAGGAAATATAAAACTCCTTTATTTAAACCTCCCACCCTAAACAGGGTGGCACTTACTCTTTCAACCGAGGTCAAATAGCTTGGAGTTATTCTGGACAAGAAACTGGATTGGAATCGAAACATTTAAGACCGCTCCAAGAAGGGATGCGCTAAACAACACCTTATCCAGAGCTAAGGTGGAACGTGTGCAGAGGACGGCTGTCCTGCTCGTCACGGGAGCCCTGCCCACTACATCCACCAAATCTTTGGAAATAATCTTAAATCTTCCACCTGTGGATCTCTACGGCGAATTTCGCGCCGGCTGTAGTGCGGTCAGGTTAAATACAATCCAGCCGTGGAGAGACCTCAGATGCGGACACGCAAAAGTACTTGAAACTATACCGGATCCTCTACTCTGTTTAGAAAACAAATTCTCCACAAGAATCCCAGAGAGGAACGAGTGGGAAAGGGCCACAGACCTGAACCCAGGGTCTACGGCCATATATACAGATGGTTCCAAGCTTAACGAAAGAGTGGGCAGCGGGATCTACTCTGACGAACTGACTGCGTAGCATTTCCTGGCTCACGCGAGGTTTTGGTCCTTCGACGGTTCGGCTTGCGCTTGTAATTGGACTTCCGCTCCGCCTTCTGCATACGCTCGGTCGGTGTGGAAGCGGATCAGTGCAGCAACGTGTGTTGGGCTAATCCACAGCGATGACAACTGCCTGAGGAATCACAGGCGCCCGTTGCATGAGAGGTAGCTAAGAAATTTATGCAGTAGCGGTGCATTCTAGCGGATTCATATCGTTCGTCCGGCATCATGGCCAGAAAGGCGCGGCAATAGCGCAGCGAATGGGTGCGGCAGCACAGTCGGCATTTGCTGAATTCTTGGGGCCTGTAAATACACGGTCGAAGGACATTGTTAGTGGCATGCGGGTGATTGGTGAACTGAGACGAGAAAAAATGTGAGAAAGATAGTAGAGTGAGTGTAAGGGCATGAGCTACGCGGGTGGTAATAAGCAAAGCTTCGTTATGTTGCGTGTGACGGTTCCGTTTTGGGTGCGAATGTCTACCACGCGAACATTTTGATCGGGAGCGGGATGGAGTTTCGTAATTCGGCCGAGCCGCCATTCGTTGGGGGGAAGGAGATCGTCTTTGATGACAACTAAGTCCCCTTCGTTTAGATTGGCTTCCTGGCCTTTCCATTTGTAGCGCTTATGGAGTTCTTGCAGATACTCAGTTTTCCAGCGCTTGCTGAACTGGTGATGGAGTACCCTTAGTTTCTGCCACTTATTTATTAGGGAGAGATTTTCGGAGTTTGGCTCAGGAATGGAGAGTAGAGGGGCACCGCGGAGAAAGTCAAAGCTTGTAGGTCACAAGGACAAGGAGAGTGTTGAACTCCTCATACGTGAATTTATGGGTGCCCGCAGCTTTGGTGAAATGAATCTTGAAACTTTTCACTGCTGCTTCCCAGAGTCCTCCTATGTGTGGGGCGTACGGAGGAATGAATTGCCATGAGAGGCCGTGGAGGGCATATTTGTTGGCAATATCCGCTGAGACTTCCTCAAGAAAGGTGAACAATTCCCTCTTGAGACCTCGTTGTGCACCTACAAAGGTTTTTCCATTGTCGGACATCACTTTGTGGGGTATTCCTCGGCGTCCGATGAATCGTGTGAATGCTGCCTTAAAAGCTTCTGTTCTTAAATCAGAGCAAAGTTCGAGATGTATAGCTTTTGTGGAGAAACATACGAAAACGCAGACGTATGCTTTGGAGTGAGATGCTAGACGAAGAGTAGAGGTTTTTACCAGAACGGGACCAGCAAAATCAACACCAGTGGTTTGGAATGGGAGCGAGTATGTAGAGCGTTCTGGGGGTAACGCGGCCATCATTTGGGACTTCATATTANCGTGAATTTATGGGTGCCCGCAGCTTTGGTGAAATGAATCTTGAAACTTTTCACTGCTGCTTCCCAGAGTCCTCCTATGTGTGGGGCGTACGGAGGAATGAATTGCCATGAGAGGCCGTGGAGGGCATATTTGTTGGCAATATCCGCTGAGACTTCCTCAAGAAAGGTGAACAATTCCCTCTTGAGACCTCGTTGTGCACCTACAAAGGTTTTTCCATTGTCGGACATCACTTTGTGGGGTATTCCTCGGCGTCCGATGAATCGTGTGAATGCTGCCTTAAAAGCTTCTGTTCTTAAATCAGAGCAAAGTTCGAGATGTATAGCTTTTGTGGAGAAACATACGAAAACGCAGACGTATGCTTTGGAGTGAGATGCTAGACGAAGAGTAGAGGTTTTTACCAGAACGGGACCAGCAAAATCAACACCAGTGGTTTGGAATGGGAGCGAGTATGTAGAGCGTTCTGGGGGTAACGCGGCCATCATTTGGGACTTCATATTATGCTTGTAGATGGTACATGTCTTGCAGTGAAAGATGCATGTCTTGATCTTCTGCTTGAGGCGAGGGATGTAGTATTCCTGCTGGACCATGCGGATCATAAGCTGCTTTTCGGCGTGTAGTAGTGTTGAATGGAGGAAAGCGAGAAGGAGAGAACATAGCTTTGAGTTGTCTGGTATAATAATGGGGTGCCGCTCATTAAAAACGAGGGCAGCATAAGTGAGGCGTCCGTTAACGCGCAGCAGGCCTGACATATCCAAAAATGGGTGAGCAATGGGTCTTTTTTGCTGATGGGGGTTTTCGCTTCCAAGGTTGTGATCGTTTCTCCGTAATATTTGTGTTGAGCATTCCGAATGAGAAGCAATTTCGCCTGATTTATTTCTGCATGCGTTAGAGTGATAGTTTGTGGGACATACAACCTTTTGGCTTTGTTTACAAACCGTAACATGAATGCTACCACTCGGAGAGCTCTTGAGTAGGAGGAGAAGCGGTGTAAGAGATCGGTGCTTACGGCTGTTTGAAATGCTTCTATGTGCTTTTGTTCCGGTGGAGATGGGTGATTTGGGGTGACTTTAGGCCATAGTATGGGGGGCTTTGTTAGCCATTCTGGGCCTTTCCACCAGAGAGAGCAGTCTACGAGATCTTGAGGTTTGGCTCCTCGTGTGCCTTGATCTGCTAGATTGTCGGCGCTGCAGACATGACGCCACGTAGCATTGTTGACGTTTTGAAGGATCTGGGATGTTCAGTTTGCTACATACATCTTCCACATCCAGGGAGGTTTTTCCAACCAAGCTAGCACGATGGAAGAGTCAGTCCACAACGTTAGTTCATGAGAGGGCAAATCTAGTTGGAATCGGATCTGTTTCACTAACTTTGTGAGGAGGACTGTACCGCAGAGTTCCAGCCTTGTTAGAGAAATAGTCTGTAAGGGTGCAACTTTGCTCTTTGCTGCGAGTAGATGAGAAGTTGCAGTTTCGCCATGTGGAACTCTTAGATATACACAAGCGCAAAAAGCCTTTTCAGAGGCATCAGAAAATCCATGCAATTGGATTGGGTTATCCGGGCTGAATTGTACCCAAAGGGGTATCTCAATTTCTTTTATCGCCGAGAGATTTTTCTGGAAAGAGTTCCATTTTAGAAGTGAGGTGGGTTTCACAGCTTCGTCCCAGTCTGTTCTTTCCATCCAGAGCTCCAGGAGGAGAGTTTTCGCTGCTATCATAATGGGCGATAGCCATCCTGCCGGGTCGAAAAGTTTTGCGACAGCTGATACGATCTGTCGCTTTGTGGCAGTGTTTGTGTCAGGGAGCGGATCTACGAAACGGAGTACGAAAACGTGTCTGTGAGAGCGTTCCATTTAATTCCAAGGGTTTTCGTTGACCTTGGCTCTTGGAATTGGAGAAAATCTGTGTCTAACAGATCAGACTGAAGAATATCTTTCAGCTGTGATTTGTGATTTGTCGTGATCTTTTTCAAGGGGAATCCCGCTGATTTTAGGACACCGAAATTTGAGATATCGATTCGCTGGCTGAATCCAGATCGTGCCCGCCTGAGAGAATGTCGTCAACATAAGTTTCGTTGACTAAAATTGCTGAGCTTCGTTGGGATTTTTGTTGTGTGCCTTTGGCCAATTGATGAAGTGTTCTTATGGCCAAATAGGGAGCACAGTTAACTCCAAATGTAACTGTTTTTAGTTTAAAGTCTTCTATCGGACTTTAGGGGGATCGGCGGAATAGGATTCGCTGGAAATCCTGGTCTTCCTTATGGACGTATATCTGGCGATACATTTTTTCAAGGTCGCCATTGAACATATACTTATATAACCTCCATTTGAGAATTATACGCATTCGATAATTTTGGAGTACGGGACCGGTGTGCAGTACGTCATTGAGTGAGATGCCGGAGTGAGAGAGTTTTGACGCATTAAAAACTACTAGGATTTTAGTAGTTTTACTATCATGTTTACAGCGTAATGTGGCAGGTAAAATGAGAAATATTTACCATCACGTATGATTTCGCGTGACTTTGTGGGCTCCATGTGGTCTAGAGTTAACTATTCTTCGAGGACCTTTGAATATGTGGTTTGGAGTTCCGCTTTCTTCTCGATGCTCCGTTCAATGCTGAGGTATTGCTGCTGAGCTGCGGGTCTGGAGTGCCCTAGTGCGGTTGAGTCGGGAAATGCTGACTTGAATGGGAGTTTTACTACGTATCGGCCGTCTTCTCTCCGATAGGTAGTATTTTTGTAGAGCTCCTCACAAAATTCATCATCGTATGTGTGAGTGGGAGCCGATGGAACCTCCTCTTGTTCCCAAAACCTTTTGAGTAGATCTCCTAGGGAATCTGCTGAGCCTTCAACTACCTGGGTGGAAAATGTTGAGATTTGTTCCGCAACGGCGCCACTTAATATCCACCCAAAGATGGAATTTTGGGCTACTAAGCTTCCACCAACTTTGGTTTTGAGACCTGGAACGAGTATTTTGGGGAGCAGGTCGCTACCAATTACCATGTCTATCCTGGCGG